TGAATTCAATGCAAAATCAGCCAAAGTCCGCATATTTATGCGGGGGCCGCATTTTTTCAAATACGCCGCACTTTCGCCGCATAAATTGACGATTTCCGTGCAAAATATGCGGGGTTTGCATAATTTCATAATCCTCGCATTTTCGTTGCAAAAAAGTCACATGTATCTTAGCAGAAAGTTGAAAAATGTTGCGTTTGCTTCACACAAGAGCAGCCATTTCCCCCTGTTTCCATGGGAACGTTGCGAAGTGACGCAATTACGCGACGCCAGACAGACTCACGGAGGCGATTGACATCTCACAAATCGAACTCGTATAACTGTCTGTCACACGTTCTACCGTCACATCGTTACTTAATAAACAACATAAGATAAAATAATTAGCATCAAACAGAAATTAGGCGCACATATAACACTGCAGAGAGTTCAACAGGGAGCGCGCAGCTCTTAAAGGGGCCACACCTTATTTACACTCGTTACAGTCTGAAATAAAACAAGATGAGAAATTAAATATTCCCAGCACTTTCTATGATGTAGTATGCTTGCTTATCAAAGGAAGTAATAAGAAATGACTCTTACATTAGCCTAGTGAGAACAGGATGTTGGGGGAATCACTTTTTTTCTCTTTTTCATCAAACCGCAATTTTTGCAAATTCCTGCAATTTCATCGCATAAAATTGCATAAATATCCTGCATATTACATCGCATTTTTAAAGAAAACGGGCCGCGTATTCAATCAATTTTTGCCCGCAACAATCACAAAAAAACTCTGCGTTTTTCTGGAAGGACTGAATTATTATGGTAAATGTTATATATAAATCGCAAATTTTTTCACACATTTTTGGAAATTACCACCACAAAATCAGTCATTTTGATCGCAAAAATCACACAAAAAAATCGTGAAATCCTGGAGGGACTGCCTAAATTTCAATGTAGCTTTGTACATCTAAGACTCTTCGGCTATGCAAGAGTTGACGCTGCTCTAGCGGGTGATTGATGCGCACATAAAATGTAATGCCAAACACAAAAGAGGAATACTACAGTGCTGATAACAAAAGGCCAGGAATTATCCTGTTTATCCTGAGTCTGGAGCGGCGTTACGATGTTTGATTTCATGAGGTCAAGCACAATGTTTCAAACATGATTTTGATTATGTAACCAAACCACTTTGTCAGAGCAGTTCTAGACATACGGGGGATGTTTTGCATTCAAATTTTAAAGTGTATTTAATATTAATGTGTTTGAATTGAACTGCAACATTTGAATAATAACTCATAGAATTACAATGTCATCCTTTTTATAGGTTGTATATGTATTTTCTGATAGGACTCTTGCTCAGATAACGCAAAAGTAGTACTTGGCTTAAACCCAGATAGCAAACTGACATTAAATCAACGTGGAAATGTGACATCGAAACAACGTTAATCTGACATTGTTTTGCTCATCGAATTAACGTTGAACCAACGTCAGACGCGTCATTCTTTCAAAACTAACGGAAAATCAACTTGAAATCAACGCGTTGTTTCAACGTTATGAAAGCAAACCAATTTTCAATTTTCAATTAGCTTTGAAGAATGCCGCGTCTGACGTTGGTTCAACGTTAATTTGATGAGCAAAATCAACGTTGTTTTTAATGTCATGAGAGACATCATTTCCACGTTGATTCAATGTCAGTTTGCTGTCTGGGAAAGGTTTCAGAACCACTGGCCGACAATATTAGTGCAATATTAAACAACATCTTTCTTGACTTGTCGTCACTTGTCATGCTCTGTGAATTACAGAAAATTAGTGGCAGGGACCATCCCTACATCATTGAATTAAATGACTTGCTCAAGAGGACACAAGTGATACCCGTTTATTTCATAGTTGTCTCTTTGATAATATCGAGTCTGCATTATTGGTACATTTTTACTATTGGTATTTTACCACAGAGGTTTGGCCTCTTAGCCCCTGGTTGTTAAACCAAGCTAAATTCTCTATTGATGTTCATACAAAAGTGTATTTCTGATTAAATCATTTGTTTTGCAACCAAATATTGTGAAGTTTTCATTAGGCTATATCATAGTGTATGTTTTACCACTTTGAAAACTCAGCATAGTCACCATTGGAGCTACAAGATAAGTAGATGTGTGATTATTTACATGGCATATGCTAAAACAGACGATAAATCACTCGTGCCACAGAGGCTGGATGCCACCTTGCTTTGCCTTTTTGCGCTTGTAATGTCAGTTGGAGAAACAGTGACCCCTAGAGGCCAAGTACAACACACACACACACACAGGGCCTTTGCCAGCAATCCCCCCTTTAACATTCAGATTAATATGGTCCACTTTCTATCAGCACACTCGCTGTTAATGCAATCTGCACTGCTTTCCCAAAGCAATTAGCGAAATGGATGCACTGCTGTTGTTTTATCAAAAACAAGTTGCATCCTGAAGCACATCTTAGCTGTTGATTTATTCATTTGTTTCACTTTAAAAGCCTCAGGCACATCTCTTTTTTTTATACAGAATGAGCAGAGGATGCGTGAAGCCCAGCAGGCAGAGGTGCTTAGAGATATGAGCTGTAGCGTAATGTCGCATGAGGGAGAAATAGAAAATTATGATTTGGAAGAAGTACCTGGTATCTTTGTACAACAAGAAGTTGCAACAAGACCGATAAGAGTGCAGTTATGATGAGGAATGTCTATGGATGTAAATTGTTTGTTGATTGGCGTAAACTCCAGGGGTTGATCTGAGAAAGGGCATGTGTCTTTATGTGTGCTTAGACTAACCAAGAATAAAGGTAGTGTTTCGCTAAAAAAATAAAATAAAAGGGTGGACAAGAATGAAGCATGCTGATTATCATTAACGTTGAAGATTGGAAACTATGATAATGATGATATTAAGAAGCGGATAACTTTATCCAACACAATTTTTTCGAAGAGAGTTGGTCTCCTTAAAGCACAGGTGTGTTCTCAATATCCTGCCAATTTTAGCGATTTTACCCAAGATACTTGCCTGAGATTCTAGTAATCCTGAACACCTTGATTAGCTGCTTCAGGTGTGTGTAATGGGAATTGAAGCGAAACCCTGGAGGATATTGGCCCTCCGGGAGCAGGAGAACTTTGGAGACAGAGTATCCACTTTTAGACATATATTCACAAACTTCTCTAAGCACTTCCCTACGTGGAAATCCCCGCTGAAGGGCATTCATCAGAGGGAATTTTATTTGGACAAACCCTTAACCCCCCAATTTTGACAGAGGGAGCGAGTCTACTCATATGTACATTTCAGGCAGATCCATAGACCGCAATACAACGAGATTTTGACGTCACAACAGCAAATCGCATTTCTCGCACTTAATTTCCCCACAAGTGATCAAGGGTTTAAGGCATTCCATTAAAACATTGCAAGGGTTCTGTCTGTACTGGGCACTTGTGCAATGTAATCGTTTATCAGCATAGTTCATGAGTCGGTGTTTCCCAGAACCATTGGACAACCAACATTCGCAAACAGCATCGCAAAGTTGAAACGAGAGCTCTCAACCTGTTGTTAGAAACGTAGTTATTGTTTGCATGGCATGTGGACTTATTCAATCCGTATCTGGAGCCAAATAAGCAAGCTGACATTCAGTACAATCTATATTTTTTATTAAGAATACATACAAATGTAATTTATGTCTTTTAGTTTGTCAAGTGATTCCGTTTGTTAAGAATGACCATGCAAGAATAAGCAAAAAGGCTTGATGGTACCTTAGTCACTGCGAGCCCGTTCTCATCCTTTGGCGTCATATAGGTGACGCCATATGACACTTCGTCGAAATGATACACACATGGCACCCTTTAGCGTCAATATAACACGCGGAACCCAAGGCGTCATACAGATGAGTGTTATCCTTTTAGCGTCAATATGAGACGCAGACCCTACCCCAGACCTGAACCTACCCAGAACAGTGCGTGTTATATTGACGCTAAACGGTGCCATGTGCGTAGTATTTTGACTAAATGTCATATGGCGTCACCTATATGACGCCAAATGATGAGAATGTGTTGTCACTGCATGTGTTCACTGAAAAAAGAGCACCATAAAGATTCTGCAAAATAACTTATTTTGCATTCCAAGAAAAATAATAATATGGGTCTGGAACTATTCCTTAAAGGGTTAGTTCACCCAAAAATGAAAATTCTGTCAGTATTTACTCACCCTCATGTTGTTCCAACCCCGTAAGACCTTCGCTCATCTTCAGAACACAAATTAAGATGTTTTTGATGAAATCTGAGAGCTGGATCACTCCTCCATACTAGTCCATAGGCTTCTTGAGGAATTGAAACTTGCCGGCCTCGAAAAGTCATTAAAGACGTCGTTAAGATAGTCCGAGTGACTACAGTGGCTCAATCTTAAATTGATCAAACAACGAGAATATATTTTTGTGTGCAAAAACAAAAATAACAACTTTATCTCAACTATTCACTTCCTTCTCTATGCGCCTCTAGTCAGTTAACGTAGTGTGATAGCGTAGAGCTACGTCACACGTAGGCTCACTATTGGCCGACGCTGGTCGTGTGTAATGTGTGTGCCGTACAATAACAGAAGCTTACGCTATTAAACTAGTAACCTGACTCGAGGCAGAGAGACAAATAAATTAATAGTTGGAATAAAGTCGTTATTTTTGTTGTTTTTTTTGTGTACAAGATGTGTTCTTGTCATTTAATAAACTTAAGATTGAGCCCCTGTAGTCACTAGTATTATTTTAACGATGTCTTTAATAACTTTTCGAGGCCGGCAAGTTTCAATTCCTCAAGAAGCCTATGGACTAGTATATAGCAGTGATCCAGCTCTCAGATTTAATCAAAAAAGTCCTAATTTGTGTTCCGAAGATGAACGAAGGTCTTACGGGGTTGGGGGTGAGGGTGAGTAAATACTGACAGAATTTTAATTTTTGGGTGAACTAACCCTTTAAATTCTAGCAACCATGCTTTAAATTAAAAACCTTTATTAATTGAGCTTTTATTTGTTTTGCAGAGACCCCAACAAACCAGTGCCTCAGGATACCAAGTTTATCCATACTAAGGCCAATCGTTTTGAAGAGGTGGCTTGGTCCAAATACAATCCCCAAGACCAGCTGTACCTGCACATCGGCCTAAAGCCACGAGTCCGGGATCACTACCGTGCCACCAAAGTGGCATTCTGGAAGCACCTGGTCCCTCATCTGTACAACCTGCACGACATGTTCCACTACACCTCCACCACCACCAAAGTGCCACCGCCCGAGACGACTCAGAATTCCCTGTCCACCAAACGTCCCAATAGCAAAGCCTGGCCGTTCAACACCAAGCGGCCACCAATGTCTCCAGCGTACAACAGCGAGAGTGGGAAGGAACAGTGGAACGGGGAAGAGGAACCAGGTCCTCTGGTGGTGGAGAACCCACGGGATTACTCCACCGAGCTGAGCGTGACCATCGCAGTAGGAGCTTCACTGCTGTTCCTCAACGTTCTGGCCTTTGCTGCTCTGTACTACCGCAAGGATAAGCGCCGGCAGGAACAGCACCCGCAACCCAGCTCACCACGAGCCACCACCGCCAATGACGTGAACCGCCACGGCCCTGAAGAGGAGATCATGTCTTTGCAGGTGAACCAGACGCACCACGAGTGCGACGCAGGACCTCCCGGTGACGCGCTGCGGCTCGCCTCACTTCCCGACTACACGCTGACTCTGCGGCGCTCGCCTGACGATATCCCGCTCATGACGCCAAACACCATAACCATGATCCCCAACTCACTAGTGGGCATGCCGAACCTACATCCGTACAACACCTTCACGGCCGGCTTCAACTCCACCGGCCTGCCACATTCCCACTCCACCACGCGTGTATAGCTTTATGGAGATCCAGCAAAGGGAGGGATGGGGGGAAAAGTCATTGGTTTTAATGAAAGCGTCAGGATGATGACAGAAACAAAATGATTTGAATAGACTTTTGCAAAAAGCAGTGACAAGTTCTTTCCAGATGTCAAGTTGTGCAAACCTGCCAAAACAGAACTGCTCTCTTTCCTTCGAAAAGGGACGAGCGTTTCAAGCAGTATTTTTTCTAATCATCGTTTTAAGAGAAAAAAAAAAACGCCTTTCTAAACAGAAACGGGCGAATGGGGTGATTTTTTTTTTCTTGATTAAATAACAAAAAAACAAACAAAAAAACAAAAAACAAAGGAAAGTGCATTTTATTTCCCATCACAGTCTTTTGTGGGAAACACGTTTCAAAACAGTGGCCTCTAAGGTGACATCTGCATAATAGTGTTTGCTTTGCTTTTCGATTTCTTTTCAATGCCTTATAAAGAGCTGTTTTCTCTTAATTTGACGATCTTTCCCTGAGATGAGTTTGTGTGGAACATAGTGATCTGACTTGAGTGCTTGGATTTCAGGAAGCCTGAGACAGATGACTAATATGGAAACCGGTGGATTGAAACGGTAACTGCAACTAATTTTCCAGTTGCGTAACCTCACATGTGGTTTTTACTTTTTTTTCTTCTTGGTTACACTGAAAATCTTTTGTTTGGAACTTTTCCACACGGCAACACTGGAGATAAAGACTTCTAAAGTTACTGTAATTGTTTTTGTTTAAAGAAGTGCATCTTTTACAACAAAATTATCTATCAGCTCCTGCGTCAAATTCCCATGAAATGCACACTTACACACAACGCTCGTTTGACCGGTGCGCATGTGTGAGTGATTATGGGTACGATCGGGAATATTTGAGTCTGTGTGTGAGTGTGTGTTTGATTGCCTTTTGCCATGTTTTTTTTTTTTGTTAAATATTTGTGTGGGGGTGGGTGGGGGGAGGGGCTTATTTACCACTGCGTTGATTTTGTTCACCACAAGTAGTCTTTCAACTGCGTCTATTGTCGTCTGTCTTTGCGAAATAGAACTTTTTGTTATTTTTAAAAAAAAAGTTACATATGTCTAATTTTGCTTAAGAATTACAAAATAAATCTATTATTTTACATGCAAGAGAAAACAATAGCTTAAGATTGAACTGAACTAACTGACATGATTCCATTGACTTTGTAAGCGTTCCTCTTGACTGGAGACAGTGGCCTCTTTACACTGAATAACCACGGTGTAGAACTGTCTTTCTTTAAATATATATATAAATATGGGCATACATACATATATGTATAGGGCTTTTATGAAGATTTTGCTCCCATTGACCTGAAAGTGTAAATGACCATTGTTATCAATTATTAGGCTGAAAGCACCCATATTCAGAGGGCAGAGCAGAGTGTCTGTATTAGTTTTATCCTTGACACCGTAATCTGAGGCCACAACAAGTGTCTTTTATAATAGCTCTATATGTATATTTATGTATAAATATATTTAATATTTATTTATGTATACCAGATGTATACATGCTGATTGTGCCATGTGCCAAATTAAACCATAAAACTGGAGAAGAAATGTTTCCAAAACACTATTTATTTTGATGCCATGTTTATTTCTTTATTTTTACAGCTCCATCACAGTTAAATTAACATTTTCAGCCTGATTTATGTTGCTCAGAATTGTGTGTGGGAGTCAGGGTACAATCCTAAATCAGACTCACCATTTTGCTGTATGATAGCACAGAAAGAGGCGTAAAGACCCCGTGATGCAAAATTGTGTCACCCAGTGAGATTTAATGCTAAAACCTGCTAAAACGAGTCATTACATGATGTTTCAACCTGTTCAGCAAACGTTTGGCGAATAAAAGATTGGTGAGAACATTATGTTCATAATTACACACCTGCAAACCAAAGGTATCACTGCAAAGCATCATTCCAGGCAATCGAGCACCTTCATGGTCGGAAACCAGCGTTTTCATCAAGTATCTATGAATAACCCCCCAGATAGCAAACTGACATTGAATCAACGTGGAAATATGACATTGAAACAACGTTGATCTGACATTGTTTTGCTCATCGAATTAACGTTGAACCAACGTCAGACGCGTCATTCTTTCAAAACTAACGGAAAATCAACTTGAAATCAACGCGTTGTTTCAACGTTATGAAAGCAAACCAATTTTCGATTTTCATTTAGCTTTGAAGAATGCCGCGTCTGACGTTGGTTCAACGTTAATTCGATGAGCAAAATCGACGTTGTTTCAATGTCATGAGAGACGTCGTTTCCACGTTGATTCAATGTCAGTTTGCTGTCTGGGCCCACATCCCACATCGAATGCAGCTGCAAAAGGAAAAAAGAGTGAGGATTTCTGAAAGTAAGCATGTATTCACACCTGCCTTGTTTGGTTCGATTGAATCGAACTCTAGTTCGTTTGCCCCCTTGGTGCGGACCTTTTGGGCAGGTGTGAATACAGCAATCGAACTCGGGTGCGGACCAAACAACCGAACCGAGACCCAGCTGAAGAGGTGGTCTCGGTACGGTTCCAAACAAACTCTGGTACGGTTCGTTTACGGTGTAAACATGAACCGACCCAATTGCAAGAAAGCACTGCGTCGAAAGAGAATATTGCGCGTCTTTCTGCGCGTCGTGTGTGAATGTCTAATCGCGCAAAGATGCAAAAAAAAATATCATTTGCAGTTCATAAAGCATTTGCAGTTCACCACCTTTTGGTGGTGGTTGACGAGTTTCCCCCTTAAAGCGAGTGCCGAGAAAAATTCTATATAAATGAAATGAATTATTATTATTATTATTAATGTAAGGATAGTTACAATACAAGGATGATGATGCGTTAATTTACGTTAAACTGGACAAACTTAATCGCAAGCGTTAACATTGACAGCACTTGTTAGTACACAATAAGAATCTCATTATTTGAATGAGTGAACATAGCCCCTCTCTATGAATGAAAACTTTATACCTTCTCCGTCTTCTGCGCAGTGCCACTTGTAACGCAAAGTTGAGATGTTGCCCAGAGATAAGGTGGTCGAATGAAAAGATGCACGAGAGACGAGAGTTGTCGTATTTCCCCGCGTTATTAGAGCCACTCAAACGTTACACTCGTCGTCTTCTCAAAATCCGAATTACAACTTCGTATAGATGACATTGTATCATATGATACTCATTAGTTTCTTCATATTGCGTTTTTACAGAATTAACAAAAAATTTGTAAAAGAACAAATATTGCAGTATGAAATACATGGAAATATCTCCATGCTGAGCCTTTTTTGCACTTCCTGGTTTCCCTTGAGAATCCTTGTCCAATGAATGGACGACCTTAGCACACGTGTGGTTTGGTTTACAAATTTTGGTTCACTTGCAAAAAGAGCAGTGTGAAAGCGAACCGTACCAAAAAAAAAAAAAAAAAAAAATTTATTTGGTCCGGACCAAAGCAAGTGAACTATCGGACTTTCCTGGTGTGAATACACCCTAAGTTTGTTCGGACCACAATCGTTGAGCCTCCGGCATCGCTCCCTGCTGAAAATCCAGCTTAAACCAGCATGAATTACATTTTGGTCCAGGCAGGACTGGCCTGTGATTTCAACCGAACCCCTTGTCCCGTTTGACCTTCGTCAACCTCCTGCCACTCTTCCTCACAATAACTCGAACCCCCCTCCATTTATCTAGACTTCTGTCCTCAAAAGTCACATTACGTTGAACTGTCTTTCAAATCAACGCACGCACACACCTTCACCTCGCAGGTTCTCCACAGGTGTCCGAGGTTAAACCGGTCCAGTTGGGTGAAACATAAGCAAGCACATGAATGTAAACTCTTCTTCATAATCCATTTAGCTGAGATGAAGAATCAACACCACGCCTCTGTGATTAAAAAGCTCTTGAAACTAGGCTTGAATCAGATCTTCCAGAACCTGAGTCATCTGCAGATGAGAGTATTTATTACTCAAGTGGGTGTTTAAGGATGTTTTGATGGCAGCGGATTCATCACTCATATTCAGTGCTTGATCCCTGATTGACTGAAGAAATAACACAACATACATCATGGAGGTCTCACTGGAGGTTTTCCTCGGATGAGTGTGTTGCAGACGAGGGTTATATTACAGACGGCATGGATATGAGCAAACACAGAACGTTCCCCTAACGTTCCCGAATGGTCCCATGAGGTTATTTTTTTGGGACCCAAACAAGAACATTATAGGAACGTTCCATGTAGGTTATTTTTAGGTTCCATTTTTATAACGTAGGGAGAATGTTCCGGGAACGTTCCCTTAACCTTAAAGAGCATATTGCAGGTAAAAAAAAAAAATCGAAATTTATAGATAACCTTGTATGAAAATACCATATGAAAAGTTAATGCAGGATTTAAAATGTTTTAAAACAACATAAGGGCACTAATTTAGAAGATAAAGTGAGCGTTTCTTGGACTGCTAGTAAAAACGGCTTTTTTTTCAACATCGCGTCATTTGACGTCATATCAGGGAGCCGCAGCCTCGGCTCAGTGGAGAGCAGGCTGGTGTTCAGTGAGGGCGCTCGTCAGTCGGTGTGCTTTCGTTAGTTTTTGCATTTTAATTTATCATCGTCATGGTAAATTATTGTGTTTGTGGAGATTGCAAAAACTCCAGCCTGTCAGGACTTCAAGATCGAGTCCACAAGTTTCCATTACAATAAAAGTGACGGTGCTTATAGCCTATCTTTCGTTCCTGGTGCGGTTTGAGCAGATGAACAGACGGGATTTCTCTTCTGCATCGGCTCGGAAAACGCGATCGTGTGTAGCGTTCACTTCAGATCAAATGATTAGCATCCCGGCAATATGATGGAGTTCAACATCATGGTATGCCGAAGCAAGAATATTGATCGTCGTATATGGCATCAAATACTGTTATAGGTAACTTAGTCATGTCGTGCCCTAAATAGAACTTGTAATCGAAAAACAAAATTGGTTGTTTAAATACTCAAATCTTTAATGTTCTGTTTATGTTATAACCTAGGTGAAAAATATGTATTAAAAATGTACCTGAGTATAGCCTATGCTTTTAGTATAGAAATATACTCAAGTAAAGTTTTTCTACATTTAATAGTATATAAATCTACCCTAAATATACTAATGTCTGCTGGCCTGTTATAGGATCGTAATAATCTGTACAGTATTGTGAGCACAGTGTATATCGTTAGCGAACGTGTATACTATAAGCACGTCTCTCACCTAAAAGGCACCTGTCCTGTTCTCCACTGGTTCTCCTCACATCACAGCTCAATTTGTCTCTGACCGTTCTGTCTGACATTATCCTGGCCTGTCCCTGATCTCTTTAGCATAGCAGGCTCATAACTTTATGGCTTGATCCGTCATACGAGTATTTCCTCAGCGTCCGAAATGTCATGCGATCCATTGTTTTCCTGTTGTGTGAATAGACGGCTCTCCCGCTCATTGCGTCACGCCCGCCACGCCCGTTTTCAGACGCGGAAGTAAAATTTTCTCACAAAAACGATTGCAGAAGCTTCTGTAGCGTGTTTATACGTATATTTTAAAGAAAATCTAGTTCCTACATTGTTTTTATATGCATTGACTCGTTGGGTCCTCTAACCTGCAATATGCCCTTTAAGGGAAAGTTCTAGGAACGTTCTGGGAACCAAAAACTAACGTTCCCAGAACGTTCCCAGAACCTAAATTTGTTTGCTGGGTAGAAACTCAGAGACCCTTGGGGCCACATGACAGACACCTCCTACAATATCTACTGACTAAAGGACTCGGGTGTCACGCTAAACCCGAAGAATAGGCATAAGTATGACATTAAACGAGTTTTTAGGCTGTGCAGTGAAGCAATTTGATTGTAGCTTTGTTCGCTTGAGCGTGTACCTGCCGTTGAGGAAATTACTTTAGCTCCTAGGCTGGGAGCCGCGGTGCATAACATCTTCTCCTCTGTGTCTTAAGTGCTGCTCTCATAAATCAAATGACTTTTCGCGCTTCCCTCTGCTGCTTTGCTCCTCTGGCCTCCTCTTTTACTGTAATGCGCAGTAGAAACTAACAGGATATTTCCATTAATTAGATGGACCATTTTATGACTCTTGTAGTAAGGTCTACATGTTTTACTGTGTTCAGCAATGCCGGTCCTCCCTATACACACAGTACAGCCTGGTCTCATCACAAGGCGTCATATACTGACGCTTTTGACATTTCGTCTACATCCAACGCGCATGGCACCCTTTAGTGTCAATATGGCTGGATTTACACTGCAAGTCTTGATGCCCAAATCCGATTTTCTGACTATATCCGATTTTTTTGACGACCTGCTTACATCATCTTTTAAAAGTGACCCATATCCGATTTTTGCATTCACACTATACACTGCTGAAACTACCAAATGCAGACGTTCTGGTGGTTCTGAACCGGGAAATTAAGCAAAACAGCACGAAATTCAATGGATGCCAATGCGAAAATTTCAATAAGTCATCAAAACATTGGTCTCGTACGGCGGAGAAAAAAAAGAGGAGAGGCTCTGGCCATGAGCACTTAAAACAATGCCTCATATCTCGTGAAATGTCTTCAAAAACGGATTTATTTC